GCAAGTCATGTTCCTATATATTTTCTGAGCAATGTTCTGCAAAATTTGTAGCTGGAATGTCACTGGCTGCTCTTTTCATCTAGTGATTTATATGACATCTTCAGGATGTCATATAAGGAGGTGGAAGGGTTCATTTGCCCCCCGGGACAGTTCTACACACACATATACTAGGCTGGTGGCCCTAAGTAGAGATATTTCTTCATTCAGATATCAGTCAGACTTGTAGTTAGACAGTCAGGACTTGAAGTCATTGACAGCGTCTGGGTTTTAGATAGCTACAGTGTCTGCATTTATATCTTCTATCACAGTCCCAGGCAGAGGGGAATCTTCCATCACTGACTTCCTTTTCAGCTCTGAGATGTAATGTGGCCAAATGCCAAGAACCACAAGGGAAGTCAATGCTGCAAGATGTAAAGGTGTGTCACAATAAACCATGTCCTTTAGAAACATTTTACCATGCCCAGCAGTCAATGAGGCACCATGGCACATTTAGCATGGTATACTTTCTTTAGCCCACAGAGATGTGCCCTTACTACAAAAGGACTAGTTACTAGTTGTGTTTGACCTCTCGGTAAAAGGATCCCAATCCACCTCTCTCTCCGCACTCTACCTAAATATTCATTTTACAAAAAGTCTTTGATTTTTTTTTTTTAAGTTTAAATTTTTATTTACAATCCAATTATGATATGGCAAACTGACAATTTTACTAAGACTATTGTTCTGCTTGTATGCATCTAAAGTGCTACTACATTTCTGAATATACAATGAAACGCTTGATGTTTTATTAGTACTTGTGATCTTACAATCTTAAACAAAACATCTGTGATAAATACATTTTTATTCATTTTTAAATTTCAGATTTTTACATAGCATTTTTTTAAAACTTTCCTTTCATTCTGATGATTCTCTTTTCTGTGGTACTGATGGAAACATTGATTCTATATCAATAAGCATAAAACAAGGTGATTTTTTTTTCCTCCGGGATACGGTTTGTTTAAATATGTGTCCATGTCATTTCCCCAAAATCAATTGTACAGAGGGGCCAAAAACAAATGTATACACACTTCAACATGAAAAATATATGCAAAAATGTTATTACTAGATTTATATAAACATCAACGGGCAGCTGTAAGTCATGTTTGAATTATGCAATTACATTAGGTGCCACCATTACAAAGTGGTCACCATTTAGCATCCAGACACTTTTGATTTTGGTGCACTACTGCGTGAAAAACATTGACTAGAGTGCACAGGGATTGCTCTGCATGATATTTTAATTCCTTCCCGTAGTGCAGCCAGCGCAGGTGGTTTTCTACGGTATACCACATTCTTTAGTGTTCTCCACAGATCGAAATCGAGGGGTTAAGTCCGGGGAACGTGGAGAGAATTCAACAGCACTTCTGTGTCCTATCCAACGTCCTGGCAGAATGTCATCGAGATAGTCTCTTAGGTCATAAGTGGTAGGGAGGTGGTGCGCCATCTTGCTGGAAGTAAAATTGCTCATCCGCATAAAGTGCATTAATGGCCGGTTTGTTGAAACCACTCATAGTACTCCATTCTCCGATCAGGGTCATCTTCAATCTTGGTGTGTAACAGTCTCGGGGTGTAACATTTTTAATGTGCTTTCTTCAGAATACTTTGTATGCTTGATCTGCTAATTCCTGTCTCACGTGCACATTATTTGCGGTGAGCGTTTAAACAGTATATCTGAGGAAGCAGGACTTGCTGTGTGACGGCTCCCAGATCTTTGCTTGTGCATATCACACACAGTGCCATTGGTTCTGAACTTATGATGAATCTGTGCGATTTTTAGTCATGTAGGTGGTTCTGTTTCAAACTCGGGTCGCCATTGTCGTTCACACACATTTTAAAATTTACAATACCACTTCAAAATGGTCTTGCGTTGCTCGAAAGTCAAGCGTGCCTCTATAATTTTAATTGATTCTCTCCTGACAGTCATTTGATGATATCAACAATGGTGTGACTACTGATATATTTAGAGGAAACATAATACTACACATTGCTGCCATGATTCAATACAGGTTTTTAAAAAGGGTATAGATAACAACTGTTGAAGTGTGTATACATTTTTGTGGGCCCTTCTGTATAAACATTTGACCGAAGATGAATTATGTATATTATGTTTACAAACGGTAGAGATTTCCTTTCTATATTTTTACATGGTAATGTTCAAGCCTTCTCTTCTCTCTGTATGTTATGTGGATTTTTCTGCACACCAGGATTTCTATCAGACTGTTCATGGTAGCAGAGTGACCGGTCAGTAAAGTGATATGTTTGGTATTATTGACCTTTGTATATGTCGTTTGGTCAAAGTACACGCAGTTGTTGCCCATCTGCTTTAATTATCACATAAAGGCTTCTGGGTTACTTGTTCTCATCTTCAGTACTGCCCATGTAGCTTTGAAGGTTGAAGAGGCCAATGGAAGCATTTACAACCTGTGATAGGTGTACGATGCCTGTGATGAATAGGGCCAGTAGCAATGCAGGCAGGGTGACATTCCATATAGTGGCAAGGATATTGTAGCAGCGTGCTTTCCTGCCATAGAGACGGGCAGCGCGTTCATCTCCTTGTACCTTCTGATCTCGTGCCTGTAAAAGAGATATGAATGAGGTTACTCCTTACAAACATGATTTATATAAAACTGCAATTTTTTCTACTCAACTTTTTGTTAAAATACAATTAAAGACTAACAGTCTTTAACGAGTACCAAATCCAGATACCATATGATAAAGTCAACAATAATCTTCCTTTACCCTACCTGACTGAGCCAAATCCTCCTTCATTTGTGTCTCACATGCTCCTCCTTCATTTGTGTCTCACATGTCCCTACACTATTCGCTGCCTGAGGCCAGGATAGGGTGGTGGTGGTGGTGGTGGGGGGAGGTTGAGTCACCATCACTGCCTCACTGGTGCCCCCCAAAAGATTGCAGTGTGAGTTCTGACATAAAATTATGAAGCTTACAAAAGGCTCATGCTGAAAGCTCTGGGGTCTGCAGTGCCAGGACAAGGTCCTCTGGTACCAAAGCTTGGGATGTCAAAGAGTGGAAGTAGAAAAACAATAATTGTAAGCAAAAACAAAATGTGTTTAATTAACCCCTTAGTGACAGCATCAGAAATTGTTTTCGTTCCTGGGGACCGGGGTAATTTTGCAATTTTTGCTATGTGTTTATTTAACCATAATTTCCATCTTCCTCATTCATTGCACCTACACATATTATACAGGTGAAACTCGAATAATTAGAATATCGTGCAAAAGTAATTGCAGTAAGTGCTGCAAAAGGGGCCCAAACCAAGTACTGAGTACATATGCATGCTTGTACTTTTCAGAGGTCCGATATTGTTCTATGTACAATCCTTGTTTTATTGATTGCATGTAATAATCTACTTTTTTGAGGTTGTGGATTTGGGGTTCTTGGGGTTTTCATGAGCTGTAAGCCATAATCATCACAATTATGACAAATCACAGCTTGAATTATCTTGCTTTGCATGTAATGAGTCTATCTCATATATTAGTTTCACCTTTTAAGTTGCATTAGTGAAATAAATGAACTTTGCACGATATTCTAATTATTCGAGTTTCACCTGTA